CCAAAAAACAAAATCCAAAACCTAAACAAAACTAAGACTGGGAACAGAGTTTGTGTGTGAACCTCATAAGCTCTAGGGATTTGTTTTACTCTTTTTTTTTTTTTTTTTAAGCTCAGCAGAACAAAATATTCCTTCTCTTTCTAAAACCTAGACTTTATTTTGACTGTGAAAGGTTTCTACAGCCTGTATAATGAAGCGATAAGTTGCTCACTTAAGAAATTAAATGAATGAGTGTTCTACATTTACCTCTGAGGGTTGACGTAGTAAACTGTAAGATATGGAATCCTGAATTAGCAGAGTACCAATTCAAGACTCCCTAGATTCACCAGGTTAAGAGTAATGTGTAAACTGCAACTGGACTCCTGCAAATCATGCTGTTAAATCACTGTTTCTGTGTGGGCTCCCACCCCTCCGTTTTGTGTGGCTAGTTTTGTTCTGATTCAGCAAGCTGAAATGCTATATACTGTGATAGGGCCTGATGGAAGTGTCAGGAATGAGTGTTAAGGTAAGAACAACCCTTTCAATAGGAGTGTACAGGTGCATTGAACTAGGCATGATGTATAGCCAGGATCCTTGTATTTGCATATTGCAACTACGCTGTATTCCTGTCTAGTAGGACAATAGAGCTGTCACAACAGTAACTGGTAGTGTAATGATGTTGTATTGTCAACGATATATTTTAAAGTCTCTGTTCTCTTTTATAGGTAGACCATCAAAATAGCACTAACAACAAAGCACCAGTTGATTCTAAGGGTATGTTTTATATTAAAGAATTGCAATTAAAGTTGGCAAAGAAGCTTTCTTAAGCTTAATAATTGACTCCTGGCCTACGTTAATAATAAAATGACTACTTGGCATTTTTATATGCTTGTGAATTAGATAGTGAGCAAGTTATCTGGGCGGAAAATACAAGGATAAAATGGTTAGAAGAATACCTAAACAGGCATTAAATGAAATGAAACTATAGGAAGGAAAAGTAGTAGTACTTTGGATACTGCTAGGGCCCATAGCATGACAGGCTTCTAGAGTACCTATATGTAATTAGATAAACCTAACTGTGGCATTTAAAAACTACCTAAATACTAGGTTTGCTTTAAAAAGTCAGAATGAAATCTTGTCAGTTTAATTCTCTGTCCTCTAAAGATACTGAAGAGACTTGAATAACTAACCAAGCTATACATGTTTGATAGCATTTGCAAGTGGAAAAGGAAGTGGTAGAGTAGGTGTCTTGTGCAAATATGTAGAGTAAGCATGTGACTTTTAGATACTTAAGAAAGGGATGGGGAGGGATTTCAATGGATTTTTGTCTGGGGTGAGCTTTTAGAATACTGCTGTAATACCAATTCTCACTTATTAATTTTTTTAAATGAAATTCACTTTACTAGGCCTGTATTGACTTGTAATATTTTGTACTTGACAGATTCGGAAGAACTCTTAAAAGACTTGGAACAATCTGGCACAACTGTGAAAAATTACATGAAGTTTTCTGTTTGGGTTTCATTTTTTGAGATTTACAATGAATGTTTTTATGATCTACTGATTCCTATATCAAATGACAAGAAAAGAAAAACACTGCGCCTTGCTCAAGACATCAAGGGATGTTCTTATGTAAAAGGTGATTAGAATACATTGCAAACTGTCAAACGTGTAATTTGAAAAGTCAGTCTTCCTGTAATAATGTTTCTTTCTAGACTAGAAAACTCCTAACGGGATTCACTGTGGCACTAGAAATGTCTACCTTGAGTATGAAAGGCAACAGTCTACATACATAGTTCTATCTGTACCTTTAATAGCGTTTTCTCTTTATTCTTGACTGTAACTCTTAAAAGCCTGTATGTGCTCCACTGCCTAGATATTTCTTTGAAATGGGAGAAATATTGAAAACAATTGACAAACTTGTTAGTGGTTTGGCTTTTTCCATTTTCTTAAAAAGACTCTAGAACTTTTAAAGTATAGTCATAATTGGCTCAACAGTTTGTTTTTCTTAGTATTTTCTATAGAGAAATAGACTTCAGAGAATATGTGAGAAAGTTCAGTCTGATTACAAATTAGACTTTTACAGTACTTTGGTTTAATCAAACCTGTGATGTAATTTTGGGTTGGGTTGGGGATTGGGGAGTTAACAGAACTCAAATTAATAGTTCAATGTTTGTTTCTGGCCACGGAAAAAGTAGAGTTTGAAACCTGTTTGATTTGTTACAGGTTCTTTGGACAATCAAGACACCAATTCTAGACTAAAGGCTTTTTTGTAGGTGTTTGGCCTGCTGCTTTTATCTTTCATATGCCAAACTATAGAGTCAAAAAGTTGAACTGGACAATAAACCCAACTCCTTCATTTCTTCAAAGACTAGAAAATGTGTGAAGTAGGAAATAATCTGCTTTGAGCTATGCTTCAGTATAATTTTTTTTTTTTAATAAAGCTGGGAAGTGTAAGGCTGTTCCTGATGTTATTGAGGAAAACCAGTTAATGATTTTCTTGTTTTTTCTTGGCCACAGCTGATATTTTTGCTAGTACAATTTTGGTGACCTATAGTTTAACAGAGGCCATAATGTTCATATTATAAGTTCTATTAGTAGGGTTGTAGGTTGTTACTCTATCACATACCAAGATGACATAGAGTCATCATAATTGCAGACAAAATTATTCACCAAACTTTTCCAGTTGATGGCCCTGAAAGATGTCCAGATGATTCCCCCCCTCCCTGCCCCTCCAAATCATAGGCTAAAACAGAGAAGCTGTCCAGGTAGAGTTCTGCCTTGATGAATATGAAATAGGGCTTTCATACTCATGACCCTGCCTTTTGGCTTTTCAGTGCTCAGGTGAAGGTTGCTCACTTTATTTGAATGGAACATGTTTTATTGTACTAACAAGATGAAATGGTGTGATATACTTGTCCTTCCTTTCCCATAGAAGAAGGAATCTTACTTGTCACCATATAATTTCTATCTGAAGTAGGCTTAGTAAAATATTTGTATGTCTCAAGTAAATGTATTATTCTTGCTGTGGATATGTTATCCCCTAATCTCTTCTTTCTTTTTGATAATGATATTTACAAGGTTATTATGTTTCTTTTTCCTAAAGATCTGCAGTGGATTCAGATTTCTGATTCTAAAGAAGCTTTTAGACTTCTAAAACTGGGGTTGAAACACCAGAGTATTGCAAGTACGAAGCTAAATACTTGCTCCAGCAGAAGGTGAGAACCATTTTGAGTAACATTGGGCATAGGATGGTGTGTAGCAGGAAGGAGAAAGTAGAATATGGCTTGTTAAAGCCTCTTCCCCTCTTAAAAACCACAGGGTCTAGATATCTGGCTTTCAGTTCTAGTGTCCTTTAGCAGTATGTGACCCAATGCGTTAAGCCAAAAGGATTCAATCCTTCAGTAAGACAAACGTGTACAAAAGCCAACAGCATTTTATCAAATACTTTCCTTCAAGCAAAAGCACTTAGCTTTATTCCATCTAAATGTCTGAGGAAAAAGCAAAGTACGTGCTACATAAATATCTCTTCTAAAGTTTGCATCTGATAGAGTATACTCTTAGATATGTTGACAGATTCATCAATGTGTTGAACAGATATTGTGGAGGCTAGAAATATTTTGAAGGTATTGGTCTACTTTATCACTTCTCTACTGATTTAAACTTCTTTTAGTCACAGCATATTCACAGTTAAGATACTAAAAATTGAAGATTCAGGAGCACCGCGAGTGACTCGAGTCAATGAGTAAGTTCAGAGCAGAGTCTCCCTCTTCTTTGTGATGAAGTTGTCAATTACTCTCCATGTTGGTGTGCTGGTACTGCCCTATACACCCAGTGCTCCCTGGTACAGTATCATGCATGTGTGGTGGTTTCCCTACTTCCTATGCTCATACAGTACTTGGCCATCTATCTCAAGCTATCAGGTTGCAATGCTGTTCTGTATCTTGTTCAGCACAAGGTTCTGCTAGCCTGCTGTACTCTTGAAAGTCCTCAGAAGGAAGAGGACGAGGTGGGAGGAACAGGAAGTGTGTTGGGAAAGGGTTTGGCAGGAAGTCGTGTGAAATTTGATTGGGGAAGCATCATTGAAAAGGATGGAAGGGTTCATACAGATAAAGATCAAGAAATTCTTCCTCTAAAAAAAGTGATTGTCTTTAAAAGTGAATAATTTGTGTATGTTCCAAGGTAAATAAAGTGAACTTTCCTTATCTACTTTCAGATTGTCAATGTGTGATCTTGCTGGTTCAGAAAGATATACCAAGACCCGCAATGAAGGTGATAGATTGAAAGAGAGTGGGAATATAAACACCTCTCTCCTGATTCTAGGCAAGTGTATTAACGCACTCAAGAACTGTCAGCAGTCAAAGTAAGTCCTTTTACAAATTGCAAGCTGGTTGTGGTTTTCAGGTATTGCCTATAATGTTTAAAAGTTATTGTTAAATATATACAATGGTAACACTAAGCTTTTGGTAGAAAAGATGCACAGACTTACAAAGTCTATATGGTAAAGTCTTGTTATCTACCAAAGTTATTTTAAACTTGCCTTGTTTTACTCTAAGTCATTCAAATTCTAATGTCCTTTAAACATGCTAGTATAGATTTTAGCAATTTAACTTTACTCTTCTGAGCTTGGCTTAGAAACTTTGGAATAAGTTTAAAAACCCCTTTTCACTAGTGTCATATTAAGAGTCAAACTTTCAGCCTTTTATTACTCCTTTGTGAACTAACTCCCATTTTCTATGTACTTCTAGCATAACAGGGTATTGCTATGCTATGGTAACTGTGCACTCTGACAAAATTTTGTTTTTCTAAATCTGGACATATCTATAATACTCTCCTACTGATCTAGCTAACTATATGCAGACAAAAGAAAGCCTTCCCGCTATTTATGCCCCACCTTGGGATTTAAATAAGAGTAAAATAATAGAATAAGTTAGCTGTCTAAAAACTAGTGCAATATATAGTTACAGCTGGATGTAACTGTCCAGGAACTGCTTTCTCCACAGGTTCTCATTTAAAGATCTGTTTCTGTCCCAGAAGTTAAATGAATTCTCAGTCTGCTGATTGATATGCCTGGATGTGCTTTGTCAAATTCACTTACCCCATAACACTGTTCCTGACAGCCTATTCAAAGTCTATCACACCTTAAGATGAAAAAGCTTTGCTAGCTTGTGTTCCTGATTAACCCTACATTTTGTGAATTTACAGTCTTTCTTATCTTCCTGTTCTTTCCAGATATGAAGGATGTATGAAAATTAGCAGCTGCTTAGAGGGCTGTTAATGTACTCAGAATGTCTTTTTCAGATCCTAATAACTTGGAATTTTAACAATACAGAATAAATGTTCTGAAGCATAATCTCCTGAAGTGTTAATAGATGCACCTTGCAAGTTGAATAGGAAGCAATAACTTTCTTAAAATGATTCTTGTTTATCAGTCCTGCAGCAAAGCTACTTATGAGCTGTATATGTATTCTAGTAGGAGTGTCACTATCTTGCTGAGTTCTGTAGTGCTATTCATATAACTGAACAGCTGTCATGTGTCCAAAATGCAGGCAACCTATTTGGTGGCAAGTGTATGTTTAGTCATGTTTTAGGAATTCTCATAAAACTTCCTATAAGCATCAAAAACTACATCACTATCTGTTAAAGTCAAGGGCACAACTTCCAATTTAGAAAATGCCAAACTGCTGGGGGATTAGGGAAAAAGTTCTGAACGGTGTCTCTGTGTTTGGTGTATAATCATTTTCTTGCCTGGACGCTTGTTATTGTTGATTCTCAAGAGGCAGGATACTGAGTGAGAAAGATCTCTGATAATGGGGGATACTGCATGCCTATAACTAGATATGTCCCTTTCATGAATGTGGAAAGGAAAAGAGAGAGGTAGGGTATAGTTTGATGTAGCATGAGTCTACATGATCAACCCTAGGCTAAATGTTGAATGCCCTTTTGGTTTAAGTACTCCTATGGATTGTATTGCATTGCTATAGCCTGTCTGAGATAATGGCTAAAATAGCAGTCACAACCATGCAATCTCTTCAGAAACAGCTATATTTAGTCCAAAACAACTTTAATTGATTTAAAAGCTACTACCCTTATAAATATTTTTAAGTCTTCAGGCTGGATAGCTCTTACGCTGACTGGCAATTATTAAAATTCTGGTCATCTGTTCTTTTGTCTTTAAAGGTTGCAGCAGCACATACCCTTTCGGGAAAGTAAGTTAACTCATTTCTTTCAAGGATTCTTCAGTGGAAAGGGGAAGGTATACATGATAGTAAACATCAGCCAATGTGCTTCAGCATACGATGAAACACTCAATGTGCTAAAGTTCTCGGCTATTGCACAAAAAGTAAGTGTGGTGTAGTTTTTGTTGATCAGTACTTAAGGTTCGCATTTAAAAAGCAGATTCTCTCACTTCTAAGAATATGAATTTAGTAACTGGATTTTTCTGTCTCATGTTGCAATCATATCTTCTAATTACTCCTAGTCAGACTTTTTAAAAGCTTTACAAGGAAATAAAGGCTTTGTTGGAACACTTTTTTTCCTTTGGAGTGTGAGGGTGGGTGCGTCTCCTACCGAAAATCGATAATTCCTATAAAATGTCCAGTCTAACAAGACACTTGCTATATTTGGAAGAAATTCCTTGAGAACTAGGTAAACTTTTTTCTTCTGTACTCATGTTCTCACCTAGGAGCAATTCTAGCTGCCCCATATACTACTGCTAGTATTAATTTGGAATATTGCTCACCTGAAATATTGATAAAATTAAGCATCAAAGAGTTTAAAAGGTTGTCTTTATGGCCATAGAGGCTTCCATGGGAAGGTGAAGGTTAAGCAGAATGAGTAAAGTAAGTGTAGTGATATAACCCTGGCGAAGTTGGAAGACAAAAGTATTGGGGATCGGTGCTGCAGCCTAATGGAAGCCATGGAAAACTTCTGTTGACAGTTAGATGTGTTCCAAGGACAATAGATCCAGGCCTTTGGAATGTGGGCTTATCTAAGCAGGTTAAGTACAACACTAGAAGGAGTATACTTTGAGTGATACAGCTCCTTAAGAAATAGAATTTGTAGGATAACATTTGTGTAATTCAACTAGAAACTCAAAGTATAGGAAATCCAGAAATCTGTTGGTGCATGAGGTGGTAACCCTCTTGTAGATTGTCGAGCTAGTGAAACTTGGTGTTCCTAGGATCAAAAGAAGGGTTAGACTATAAAGTGCCTCCTCTGTGCTCCAGCTGGAAACTGGTTTAAGTAGTGACTCTGAACAGATGACAGTCTGGGGGACTGCTATGCTCAGGAGATTTATAGGGAAGTGCAACAGGTATCTCTTGGAAGTGCCAGTAGAGGTTTAAAAAATACTGATGACTTTTGTTCTTTATTTTCTGGGTAGGTTTTAGTTATGGATGCATCTGTTCTGGCCCAAGATCAATCATTTGGCGAGAAATCAGCAAGAGAACCATCACTACTTGGTGACACTAAAATGCCAATCCCAAGGAAAAGAGCTACTATACTATGGGACAGGAGCTTAGAAGATGTGATTGAAGATGATGATGATGATGAGATGGAGGAACAGCATAATACATCAAGAGAAGAAACAGCACTGAAACACGAAGAATATAAAGTTCTTATCAAAAAGGAAGAATATATGGTATGTGCCAGGGCTACTTTAAGAATTAATGTAGTGTGGAGTCTTGAAGCAAGGTATCCTGGTTTCCCCCGTCTTTCACCCTTTTTTTTTTTTCCTGCTAACCTTTATTCTACCTAAGTCCAGTGTTAAGAACTAAAAGTGGGATTACTTATGGCTTATTACCTATTGTGGGAAAACTCTATAAAATGTGTCTAAATATAGACTGAGTGGTAAGAACTACACATTTGGCTTTCTCTCCTTTTGGTAACCTATGGCCAATGCACAGCAAGTATTACCTGGTTTTTAGCAACACAGGAGACTGTTCCTCTGTAGTCCGTGCACAAGAAAACTCTGAAAACTATTCTTTAAGGAACAGCATTTTTAGGCACTTCTAGGGAAGAAAAAGAGGAGGGAACAGAGGACTAGAGAATTTTTTGTGGAGGTGTCATTAATATTGTCCAAAAAATAAGTATCTGGAAAACAAGAGCTAAATCCTGTGGAGCTTAAACCTTTTTTTTTTTAGACAACTTCAATAATTCTTGTAATAAACTTAATGTCCTTTGCAAATATCTGCTCTGTGCAAACTTACAAATTCCTGCGCTAGTACCACACAGATACTTCAATCTATTCAATCCTCCTGTTTATGAATAAGCTAATAAAAGAACTGGAAGAGCTTTTGCCAGCTGGAAGAGTAAAGTGTTGTAGTGTTTGAGGAATGGGAAAAATCTCACTTCTGGGAAACTATTTCTTTATGAAAAACTTAATGCTAATGGTAATTCTAGACGCTGCTGAATCTTATAGAAGAGTTGAAGAACAAACTTATTACTGAAAAGAAGAATAAGTTACTGCTGGAACTGAAAATTCGTGAAGAAGTGACACAAGAATTTACCCAATATTTTGCTGAGCGGGAAATAGATTTCAAGTAAGTTAACTTTAAGCGGTTTTAAAGTTACTGGTTAAAAAAAGTGAAAGTAAATTCACTTAGTTCTTAAATCTGTCTCTTGGCCATAAGAGATCACACTCTTCTAGACTTAATGCCTCTGTTAATAGATCAGTTTCTCTGAACTATGAGTTGAGGAAAAATACTGGGTAGGAAAGGCTTTGATTTTTTTTTTTTTTTTTTGAGGTGGAATCTATAAGCAGTGTTTCTTGTAGAGCTCTCCCTAAGAGAAGAGCTGCTTTGATAGGATGTCTGTAGAAAGAGTGGCACTTACTCCAGTAACCAAAGGATTTGTCTTAGTGATACTCCAAACAGGTATTCTGGCTCAAGAAGCTTAGAAAAAATGCTTCTAGTTAAGCACTATCCATTACCTGTGTATGTATTTGTCTCCCTGTCATTCTTCAGGGGGTTGTGTGGGAAATATACTTCTATTTTGGTGTAGCAACACCATTTTGTGCATCTTTCTATTGTACCAAAATAAAGAAAAAAAAATCTTTGTTTACAGGAAGCTGTACTAATAACTTCTTAGCAGTGCATACTGGCTAGCTTTTAGCTGACTTATTTTTCCTACTATAGGGAGTGCCTTTCTCACGAGCGAGAACGACTTGAAGAAGATTCTGAAAGACGCCTGGAAATCTTCAAGGAACTTGTAAATGGTTATACTAAAAACACAGATGAAGAAAATAAATTAAAGGATGAGCCTTGCAGTGAACAAGCTGGACCTCTGGTATCTTTACACCCCCCCAATGACATCCCTTTTACTAACTACCTATTGTGGTGATGGTATTATCTCAAGGATTAGAAGGATGGTTTCAAGGAATTGCATGCTGTGTAACTGTACCTCAGCAAGATATATTTATCACATTTAATAGGAATAGCTGCTGAGCCTTTAGGAGCATTTAGGAATCTCTGGGATTTTCTGCATTTCTGCCACACAAAGTGAAAATTACTGTATACAAGAAACTGTGGGGAAAGCTGCAATTATACTATAAACTCCATTGTATTAAGTGCCTATTTAAAGTATTTGAAGCTGACTTCTTAGGCCCCATATATGGACTGTACTGGAGTGGTCCCAGAGACTTTTTCCCTCTTAAGGCTATTGCAACTGAAGCAATAAGAATTGTATATACACTTAAGCCATAAATAAACTCTTGAGACCAGCTCTTGTGAGTTAGGAACCCTTTGGTTTTTAAAAAACAAAGAAGAAAGATACGAAGTCCGTGTTTTGAGTACAGCTTAGTTGATAAGTTACCACAAGCTTATTTCACCTCACAAACTTTTACTGATACATGAAAATTTCGGATGTAATCCCTCTAAAACTGTTCACTTGCTGTGTTTATTCAATGTTCTCATTGGGTAAAAACCCCTAGCTTTTATATTAAATTTGAAGGGGATGCTTTATGGTGATACAAAAGGGAATGTGATGGTGGATCATTAAATGTTTTAAAAATAAAGTAGCTATTACTTGATACTGGAGACTTGTGTGTGAAGGTAGACAGAAACTGGCAATCAAATTGCATGTGAAACTGCAAGGTGGCTTTGAAGCCAAAATTAACTACACTCACATACTTGAATTCATAAGTCTTCCAAATTTTCTGTAGAAATAATGGCTATTGTGTAATTATTTGCTATTTCTAAATGGATATAAATTATCTTTCAGGATAAAGAATATAGCACGGGACCAGGCACCTACATTGATCTTGAGGGCATTATTGATTCTCTGCAGAATGATGTCATTGATATCAAAAAGCAGGCAGAAGAAGCACACAGATACATTGTGTCCCTAGAGGACCCACAGGAAGCTATAAGTTGGCTTGAAAAACAGCTGGGAAACATTACCACTGAACTAACTAAAACCAAAGAAGAGCTGACAAAGAAAACCAATGAACTACTTAAAACTGAAGAAGAGCTGACACAGAAAACCAAAGGTGAGCTAGGTGTGTGATGTGAAAGGCCAAAAAAAGAAATGACTGACTACTGTAAAATAGAAATAATAATGCAGTTGAGCAGGATTTTGGAACCAAATCATATGTATAGAGGTGGTAACTGACTGTCTTGTGCATGTTCAGGTTGAACAATTCCACAAGCCTTGGTTAGTTCACGTTTAAGACAAAACTTAAAACTGTCAACTGCAGACTTCTGAATTGTGGGGTAAAATATCAACGTTATTAATTTTTGATTTCATGGTTATATTGTAATCTCTGCACTTCTTTACATTTTGCTGATGCAGTGTTCTCAGGTATCCTGTGGAATGTTCATAGAGGAAAAAGTAGCAATACCTCATAATAAGATTTCAGCTAAGTCTCTTGACATGATTTATGTTTTGTATGGGTTGCAAGGCCCAATTTTCCTATTCAAAAAATCGAAAAAAAATTGAAATGTGTCCTATAAGCAGAAGTTAACATGTAAGTAAATCAATCTATTCAAAAGCTACTGAGGTGCCAGAAGATCTGGAAAAATGGAGTACTGTGTAAACTATGTAATGGCTGCTTGCTTGATGCAGACTTCTTTTCTTGTTACAGACTTTGAAATGCAGATGATTAAATTGGATGAGTCTGCTGAGCAGCTTAAAGAAGCAACTGAGGTAACTCTCTCAAGGAAACACTTGTGCAAAATTGTTTGCTTTAATACAAAGTTCCAATAGCTTAAAATGCTATTATAGTATGTTTCTCTAGCTTTTTTCTTTTTTTTTTTTTGTACCAAGCTTAGCTTAACTGATCTTACTTCTAAATGCATGGTATAGTTCAACAATTTAATATTGACTGAACTACTATTCTTTCTTTTCCAAGAAAATGAATACACAGAATAAAAGAATTCAAGAACTAATGGACATTGTGGAGCAAAAAGATGATGTTATTATAAGACTACAAGATTTGATATCTCATTTAGAAGAAACTGTAAAAGACTATGTAAGTCTTAGACATCTCAATGTTCTTTATATGAAAAATCTAAATCTATGCTTATAATGCACTTACCTATTTTGGAAAATTGAAGTTTTCTGTAAGTAATTACTACTTGCTTGAAATAGTAGTAGGTGAAGTTGACACTGAAGCTAAAGTTAAAATGTGTGTGGGTGTGTGTATGTGGAAAAATAGGACTTTCAGAAGCAGTGATCTGGAATTATTGGAGGACTGTAGATGAGACTCTGAAGAGCCCCTCTAAAGGAAAACAAAACAACAACCAAACAAAACCAACAACAAAAACAAACCCCCAAACCAAACCCTGTTCAAACTGGGAGGGCTTAAACACTGGGAATAGAGGGATTGCATCACTGTCTCTTTATTATTGCCTGAATGGAAGAGGAAGGAAAGGAGGCTTTGCTGCAGCAAAAGGTCAAATTTAATTGAAGTTAGAAGTTAGTAATGTGAGAAAGACAGTTATTGTGTGAATTGGTGACAAAAATCAGTGTGTTCCACCCACCATCACCATGTACACACACTCTTCAAAGGAAGAGCAATAATATGAATATTTTTTGCAGAGTTTGAACTAAGAGTGGATGGCCAGGGTATCTCTGCTTTTAATGTGATAAATGACATCAAAAGCCATTACAACTGGCTGGTCTACTGATTACAAAAAGAAAAAAGTGCAGTTAGGGGTGGGGTTTTTTGAACAAGTTGTCCGATAACCTGCAGTAGTTCTGAGAACATTTTAAATGGAACCTGGTCAGTATTCTGATCCATTTCTTTCATCCACTATAAAAGTAAGGCTTTGACCATACTTAATCTTCCATTCCCTCTCTCTGCCCTACAGCAACTTAACTTCTCAATAGTATGAATGCTCTGAGAGTGATAAGAGTTGTAATGACTGCTTCCTTTTACTACTCCTTCCAAGAGCAAGACTCCAATGCTGTCCAGTGTTTCTATGAGACTATGTAATATGAGGCTTAAAACATGACCACAAACCTCAAGTCTTTTCTATAGATTATTTTTTTTTAAATGCAGTACTTAAAGATGAATAACTGGTCCTTGGCAACCAGTGTGGCTTGCCACTTGTGTCATCTTGCAAGTAAAGAAATTTTATTCTTAGTCAAATATATAGTCTAAGGTATGTATGACAGAACTGACCAGGCTTTCAAATTGTATCAGATCTGTCATGATAAAAATGATCTGTGGCTTTGAAAGTGGTTAAAACTTCCAACTCCACAAACTATGACAAGAAAATGACGAACTTGTAGAGCTGACCATTTGCCCTTTGAACAAATCAGAAATTTCATCAACTCTTTTGACACTGGAAATTTTTTTCAGGTGGTAAACAAACTCCTCTTACATGCAAATCTTGCATTTTGTAGCCTCCTAGTCTCTTGCTCCGCTTTCTGTACAGCGCAGAGCATTGTGCTTACTAGTATCTAAAGGTGTACCTGCTTTTTGTTTAAGTAACTGACTTGTTTCTCTGACAACCCTGATACATATTACCCAGGTAGCTTTGTAAAAATATTTGCATATAAAAGATTACTAAGCTTTTTAAGTGCTCACTTTGTAAAACTTCCATGTAATTGATCTTATTTTAACCAGGACAACACTGTAACTACCATTAAAAGAAAATTAGCAGAAAAGAACTCTAATGAAGTGATTGAAAGCAGACAATTCAAGGATTGTGAGGAAACTGTATTGGAAGTGGGAAGAAAGCGTTGCTTTGAAAATAAGCCTACTGTGGAAGAAGAGCCACCTACAAAGAAAGGTACAATTTCTACCATCACTCAACAGGGGGTCTTCCAAAAAAACTTGATTACTATTCGAGAACAGAAGCAAAAAGTTGTGAAGCGTAAATATTATGTTATGAGGAGAAAATCTACTGTGTTAAACTGTAAATGGAAGTAACTGCGATGTAAATATCATCTGCTTTGCAGAAGGTCCTATATTGTTCACTCCTAAATACTTAAAATAAAAGTTAGTTTTTAGACTCTTCCTTTTCTGCTGCTTTTTCTCATCTGTTAATGTACTTGCAGACTCAGCTGTAGTTCTTAAGCAATTTCTTAACAGTAGGTTTTGTACTAAACTTGCTGTTGCTGGACAAGTAGTGTCTCCTGCTCAAGTTTTTTTAAAATCGCCTAAGCAAGCCTCAAAGGTGTCAATGACTTATTGTTCAGTCATAGAGTATGTGCTGTGAAACTTGATGTTTCATTCTGTATTCGTGCTGTGAACATACCAGCTCTGGTCAAGGTGACAGTACTGGCAAAGGAGAAAAGCTTTCCACTTGAATGGAAGTAAACTTATTTTAAGTCCTCAGATGGTATATTTTGTGTAGCTATCACATTTGCACTTCCACTCTTCTTTGCTTTTCTTGCTTTATCTGTGAGCTTACCAGTCTTTTTAGAATGAGGTGAATAAACTAGTTGCAGTTGAAGACCTTCAAGGACAAGGGTGAAACTTAAAAGGACACCATTACTTATGTTATCCATTTCATAAGTCTATGAGTGAGATTGAGCTATATGGGACTAACTTTTGCAGAATGATATTTGTAAGATCTGCCTGCCTGTAACTTGGCTTCAGGACACAGCTGGGCTTCAATTTTTCATAGAACTATGGAAAACATGAGGAAGGAAAATGAAAGGTCTTCCCTTTGTCCCTTACTTTCTTGCCTTCCTCCTGCAGAATAAGTACAAGTAAGAAAATCATTCAGGCACTGTTTGGATGAGGATTGGATAGAAAAAGAGAAATAAGAATACAAATGGGAAGCAGAAAATATCTGTATCAATAATGAGGGATAACACATGTTAAAAGGAGACTTGCCAAATTCACATGATCACAGAAAACTGAGGATACAGATGGTGAATAAACTGAATGCTGGACTGTCATTCATCATATTCTGCAGTGAAAGAACAAGGGAACACTCAATCTAGTAGAAGATCAGTTTAAGTTTATGGAACAAAGCACTTCATGCAGTGGGTAGTGAACTTCTAATATTTGCTACCGTAGAAGGTGGGAGAGGCAGATAATTTTCAGATTCCAGGAGTGGTTAGACAAGCTAACAGCCAACAGATTCATACATAGATACTGAAAGGGTTAAGCAGGGATTTATTGTCTCATATTCCTCCAACATTCCCAATTGTTCTATGTCAGGAAATGTCTGTAGGAAGTGGCTGGGCATACCAACAGTAGCAAAAGGAGGTAAAATATTAGGCTAAGTGAACTGATGGTGTGTGATCCAGTAGGACATGTCTGACGTTTATACAACTGGTTCAAATAAGGGTCATTTGAAGTCTGTCTTAAGAGAAGCTTCTGTCTCTGTACCAGATGCATCACTGATCTGTCTCTGCCACCTTTGGTTGGGATGAATATTGGATGCTAGCATGACCATTTGATGGTGCCAACTATATAAATGTTACTGGAAGGGCGTGGGAAATGAAGATGATATATATCAATGAATCTAATAGATAGTAATAGGTTTGTTATCTGATGATTGAAGCTCATTTAAACAAACAAAAAGTAGAAAAGTGATAGCTCTTCTCAAACAAGAAATTAAAGTGGGTAACTAGCAGTGCCAAGTAATGTCAGCACTGAGACTTTTCTGTTGGGAAGAACAGGCTATTTTAGTCATGTTAAATATGTTTCTTTTGCGGGTATTGAGAATATAAGGCATCTGAGTTAAAAACAGTTGTCAGATGCTCCATAATCATGAAATTTATTGATACACATATATACTTCTTAAATGTGCTTGGCACAACAGAACAATGAGCGCAGCTACACTGTGGTGGCTTTCTCATAGAATTTACATATGCTAGTGGCCTATGACCAAAGTTTATTTTGGAAGAAGATAGGTTATCTTGTCTTGAAGTTCGGGGTTTTGTACTCTTCTGTAGGACTTGCCTCCTGAGTTTTGGGGTGGGGCTTTTTCTTTCTTAGTATTTCTCGCATAAAAAGCTTCTGGACTGCATATCATGTATCTTCTTACATTAATATTTATCCTGCTTTGCTGCATGATTGTGGTTCTCGGTACAAAGCATCCAGATTGCCTCTAAATCCTCTTGTGAATGATCATACCCTTATTGCTATAGGTGTTGGGCTAAGCTGTGCTACTTTTTTCATCTTGCCACCTTAGAACACCAAATATGTCTTAAGACACCTCAGCACCTCCCCCTTTTAGTGAAGTATGTAAAACTCATGTCCAGTGTGAGGAATATGTAGCACTCCAATATTGTAGTTTGATAGTTTTCTTGGGACTACACAAATGGGCTTTCAGAGAAAACTATCTCCCAATATGAAATTTTTGATCTTGTAGGATTTAGAAGCATGGCTTTACAAGCCAAAGTAAAGCTGCTGTTGTTCTGACCTAGCAGGAGCACTTGATATGTCTGATTAGAACAGAAAGCAGGAAGAAAAAAGTGTCTCGTGGAATTTGATCACTTTAAAAATAATAAAAAAAACCCACCCCAAAACCTGAATTGAGATGGAAAGTACCATTGCTAATGCTTCAGTATGACTTTTAGTGACTTAAAGTTAACGACCCTATAAAACTTGTTGAATCTGTTCAGATGTTTCCATGCAGTATACAGGTACCTGTGCGCTTAATGGTGCCAAAGTGAGATGACTGCCAAACTCCACCTTATTGTAGTTTCAGTACTCACAAGAATCCATAGTATTTCTCTGGACTACATAGTTCTGATGACCTAATCCTTAGAGATAGTCAGGCTTAATTTTAATACTAAAATATAGCATGCATGTTACTAAATGGACACAGTTAGATTCCAAAACACTTGTCTGAAATAGAGTTGGAGTAAATTTTGAAGGTGGTGAAATGCATGTGATTTTAGGTAGCGTTGCTCATTACTTAGGGGAAAAACTAGTCTTAAGCTAATAAAATATTTATGGAAATTCGAGGCTGTCATGGAATGTTGTACATCTTTCTGGGAGAACTTTACATGCAACACATTAGGTGTGGGCATAAATAGTTATCCTTCTATCTGGTTTAGAAACCAATTGGGGGGGGGAAGAGAGGAAGGCCTCAAACACTAAGTGGAAAAAACTGTGCTGGATTTTCAGCTTAACCTTTAAAGTAAGGGGATATTAAGAATGAATGAAACTTTTCAGAAAAGTATATGACACCATTGCTCTTCTAAATGTAGAATGTTGCTTAGGGACGTGGTTTAGTGGTTGGACTTGGCAGTGCTAGATTAACAGTTGAACTTGATGATTTTAAAAGTCTTTTCCAACCAAAGTGGTTCTATGGGATTGCTGGCTATATTAAAGAGATCGTTGAACCAGTGAAGGTAGAAACTAGATAGAACTGTTATCTAGCTCATATGTATTACTACACATTAGTAAAACTAGCTAGATTTTTCTACTAGTGGTACAAAGTAGAAGGCTGGAGTAAATCCATGGCAAAGTGTTCTGTAAGGCTACTGAACACGTCTTGCAGCAAACTATGTCTTGAAACCTAAGAGGCATCTATTGCATGTTAAACCATTCAGGGGGCTTTACTTCAAGACTTCAAAATGCCATATGGTATGAGGGTATGGCTTTCAGATGGTGACCATTTTCCGTATAGTAATTGCTATGTAGTATTGCTAGTGACTTGTACTATTGATTTTAATTAACCTGAGTTCTATGTGTGGGTTGTTTGGGGTTTTTTTTGTTGTTCTGTTTTTTAGGAGATAGGAAGGAAAGTTGGGAAGATAACACTCTAGAGCGAGAGAGAACTGAATACATGAAAACAAATACTTCTGAGAACCATGCAGAAATACTAGCGCTGAAGGAAAGAACTGAAGCCTTGGAAGGTCAGCTAGCTGCACTTGAAGAACAATGCAGAAGAGAAAAAAACGAAAAAGAGGAGTTCAGTGGGCAGATAACAAACTTACATCTCAAGCTCTCTGCTTCTGAAGAAAGGGCTTCTGGCTTAAGTGAAGAACTTCAGCAGTGTCGAGCTGACTATCGGGAGATTGTTTCTGAATTGGACAAACAGAAAACAATAAATAGGGAACAAAAAGAAAAGATTATTCAGCTAAATAACGAAGTAGAAGGTGCTAAACAAAACATAATTGATAAAGTGTTACAAATTAAAACAGTGCAGTCCAAAGTAGATGAGTTGTATAAATGTCACTTAGAGTCTTATGCTATGGATATTGATTTAATTAATCTAAAGGATTCCTTAGACTCTCAAAAAAATGAACCAGAGAGTGCTCAAATGAGTCCTGTATGCATGCAGTCCCAAACTGCTTCTACAGCAGATCTGAGATGGGAGAGCTCCTTTCACTGCAGTGTTGAAAGCATTTGGGAAGAATGCAAAAATATTGTTAAGGCTTCTTCACAAAAAAGTCAGCAGATTCAAGAACTACTTCAACAAGTTGAAGACTTAAAGAAAAGACTTGATGACACTGAGAATTATAATAATCAACTACAAATAAAATTAAATGAGACTGCAAATCAAGATTGTCAGTCCATAAAGGAAACAGATCTACTTATGAATCAGTTACAAGAGCAAATCCAGAAGACCCAGGATTTTGAAAAACAGGCTGTAGAAAATCACAGAGTAATTGCACAGTTTGAGGAGGAAACTGCCAGCTACAAGGGAAAAATAAGAGAGCTTGAATGCCTCTTGGAGGCTTTTAGAGCTAAAGATAACAGCATAACAAAGTTAGAAGAAGTAGTTAAAGAAAAAGAATCTCTTATTTCAAATCTAGAAAGTAATATAGTAGCTCTGCAAGAGAAATGTGCCAATTCAGACAAAAAAATGAAAGAATTAAATGATCAAGAAGCAAATCTGAAGGAGGAAGTTGTGCAGTTGATGAACAGCTTGGAGAACATGAAACACTCTCTTCAGGAAAAGGAGAAAAATGAGAATGAGCAAATACAAACTATAGAATTGTAAGTAAATAGAGATAACTCATAGCCCTTTGAGAATAGACTCAAAACTACCTTATGTGAACATCAGTTTATTTTGACATAATGCATTTGCATGTTTATCAACTTTATTAACCAAACTTCTTGAAGAAGTTTTAATACACTACTCGAATGTTATATTTGCATATTCTGCTGACTATTTTCCTCACCTGTTTGTATGTTCTTTCAAAAATATAGATCTAAATCATGTGGAACTATTGTAGGGAAAAACAAGAGCATGCAAGCATATGAAGAATTTTTGGGCGGATTTCTAATAGTTTTATGTTGCCTACCCTTTCTGGAGGAAATGACATGTAATTATATGTTATATCCAGTAACTTGTATAAAAGCAGGCAATGTTTTCTTTGGAAAGGACTAAATGATAAGAATGAAAAAAAACCCTAGGGACTAAACAGCTGTTTTTGGTAATAGCTGGTTATTTCAGGACCATATAATAAGCTGAAATCCAAAAGTAAAATTGTAAAGCTTGTCATTGATCTGATAAATCTGAGAGTCTTAATGAATAAAACCAGCACAGAGCCTGAGTTAATGTGTAAAAGCTGTTTCTTTGAGATGTGTAACACTGATGTTATTTGTCTCTTAATTTCTAACACAAGGCTACGTAAAGATCTTTCTGAGAGCTCTACCCTTGTACAGAGTTTGAAAATAGATTTACAGAGGAAAGAGGAAGAATATACAGATTTGAAAGAGAAATTTTCTGATGCCAAGAAACAAATTCAGCAAGTACAAAAAGAGGTTGGTAACCGTAGGCCAAATGTCTTCTGCACGTTTATGCTTGGGATTCTGTTAAAACCGATTCTCACAAATCTCAAGCTACAAATGTAAAACGTGATTTATAATAAGGTTATTCTGAGTGATACATTTAGAGTAACAGTGAATCTTAGGTTACATTGTCATTGAAACTGTAAGCTAAAGACTAGATGTCAAAACACAGATTAGTACAGATATTGAAGGCGGTAAGTAAATTTTATTAATAAAAACCTGAAAAAGATTTGAAAACTATGGCTAATCTGGTTACAGAGAAGGCCTTCATAATCTTTATAACAAGAGTAGCCTTATGTTATTTATGCTGACTTCAAAGCCTCAGACTTCAGGCTTGTGGAAAACGCTGATCTGTGGGAGAAAAAGATGGATTAATCAAAACAGAAAAGCACTAACTTCTAGAGACTTTTTAAAAAATGAGCTATGTTTTCTATCAAGGCTGGGGAGAAGAAATGAAAAAATGGAATAACTTTTACTAATGTTAATTGTTAATATTTTGTTACCAATCAGTAGAATTTCTTAGAACTTCATGGGATATTGCAAGAGCTTAAAATCCAAAATACTATTGCAAGAACTTGAGCTTGAAACTAAGCCTTAAAATATTAATGTCTTCCCCAGCAGCCTAACATTTGAAGACCTTTTTCTACTCACCATCCAGTGTATAATCCTCTGTTTGAGAACTAACAAAGGGTGGGATCACATGTTAGAAATTTTTTTTTTTTTTTTTGGTAAAGGACAACTGAATTTGTAGCTTGATTAGGCTATTTCCTGGTGTGTGGTTTGTTGTGTGTGTTTGTGTTTTTGTTTCTTTCCTGTGCCAAATGTATTCTATTCTATGGTAAAAATTGTCCCATAAGAAAGATGTTCAGTATAGTGCAGTTCCAGCCCCTGAAATATAGCTAAGATGCTTGCAAAAATTTGATTCTTGAAGTATTTGGTTATTTAGATCACTTGCCGAGATCTTAAAAGGTTTATAGCTAAATGTTATCTTTGCTTGCTGTCTTTGTGCGTTGTTACAGGTGTGTACAATGCGATCTGACGAGAAATCCCTGAGGAATAAAGTTAATGAACTTCAGAAAACTAAAAACCAGTTCAGTGAAGAATTAGAGATCAAACAGCGCACAATCCTGCAACTTAAAAAGGTATTTTATCTTTTAAAATTTTACTTGCTCCTAATTTTTTTGAATTAATGGATTAATTCAAATTAATTAACGAGGCAAATTTTCCAAGTAACAGAAGAAGTCTTACAGAGGTTGAGGTAAAAATAGGAGTAGCCAGCTGAAATTAGTTTGAACGGGTGAAAGAAAGATGTTTAAACAACTTCTCACTGCAGGACGTTTTCAAATTATTTTAAATAGTCATCTGTCTAGTAAATACTTAATACCTGCAGAATACCTGATTCTGATTAGTGACACTTAGATATGTTAGTAATAATGTCTTCCTCTAAACATTTTTTTATCAGCTTGAATGCTCCTTTAGACTGTGTGAAAAACTTAATTATTCCGGACAGTTTGTCTTAAATACTTCATTCATTACTTATTAAAGCTCAGAATGAAAAGCTACTCGTTTCTATGTGTATATTTGTTTCTTTCAACATGTTTTCTTTAATTTGCTTTCAATGTGAAATATAGGAGCAGTTGAATAATGAGAAGCTGGAAGAAATCTCTAAGCAGTATGAGAAAGCATGTAAAGGTAAGAAAAAGCCATTATTGTTCCTTCTTTTTTTTTTTTTTTTTGATTGTCTTGTATATTTATATTTTAAAATACTGAGAAACTCCAACCTGGATATTAAGATGTTACAGTCGGGAACTAACTTTTATTGAATCATTATTAGCAGGTATATTTAAAAACAAAGATACAGTCTCAGAATAAGAAACATAAGCCCTAGAGAAAGTGTGGATTTGCTGTACCAGTGTTAGCTTATTAAATGTTGATATCTATTTGACATTTTAGTTGAGTTTTTTATCAAAAACAAACACTGAAACTGCACAATAACAGTTTCTGCAGATTTGATAAACATTTAGCAGCTGAATAATGGTTAGTTTCTCATATAATACAAGCCATAGTCTGATTGACATTAACACTGAAATGCTCACCTAAATCAAGTTGATGAATTGAATTCATCAACTTCACTTAAGAATTTTGGATTTGAGTCGTTCAGTAGAGATGCTCTATTTCTGATAGAGCTTTTGATCTCGGGGAATGTGGGAAATGACTTGTGATGAAGGTACTTTGGGAGAGAATGGTGGGAACTAGGAGGGGGCTCATCTGTAAATTTATTTTCAAATCCTCAGATCTGTGTGCAAAGGAAAAAATAATTGAAGATATGCGGATGACATTAGAAGAACAAGAACAGACTCAGATTGAACAAGATCAAGTGCTTGAAGCCAAATTAGAAGAGACCAACAGATTAGTTTTGGGTAATGCCTCCATGGAAAGGGAGCAGGGAGGCAAAATTGTTGTGGATGTATTGTGATAGCTGCTTTAAATTTCTGGGTTTATTTGTTGACTGTTACGTAGGCATCAATTTTATCTAGTACATAAAAAACTTCTAACAGTTACAGGCTTCTGTTGTCCCTTTGTAGTCACAGCTAAAATCCAAGTAATTTTAGTAGAAGGATGTGAATATGGTCAAATATACATTTGACGCTAGATGTTATGTAACCTCATTTTGTGTACTGACTAGAACTGGAAGCATGGAAGCAGAAATATAGAGAGCTGAATAACCAGAGTGGTAGTGACTGGCAGCAAAAGATGAGCAAAAATGAAGAGAAAAACATAAATGAAGACTTAATAAAGCTACAAAAAGAACTGAAGGTAAAATATGGTGATACAATTCATACTTAGTTTTAAAGCCATAGCTTTAATTAGGAGTCTAAATTTTTTGTGTCGCTATTTTTAAGAGCTAGAGCATGATATGACGAGTTGTTATACTGCTAAAGGAAACCTCCTCTAAAAGCTGCAGTGCAGCAAAGTCTGGATGCGGTGTCTTTGTAATATACAACATCACTGATGCCCCATAATGGAGTGCACCCTGCCCTATGTTATGCTACCATGGACAGTGCTTCTGTGACTGGGCTCCTCTCGCAGTTGTCTTAACCAATCCAACTCCTGATTTCTGTTCTGAACCACTTTCCTGTCAGTTGCTTGGGCAACTAAATCAAATTCTTTCAAGACCTTGTGCTTGCTGTAAGCCCTTCCTGTTAGGCTGAGGACTTACCTGAAAAGCTGCTTGGAAAAAAGTCTACTTTCCAGTCCAAGAAAAATTAGAGGTATCTCCTGTCTTATGTGCGAGAATGTCTGACAAGAAGTTTGTGATAGCAAAGGAGGTAAAGGTGTGCTGTGGGTTGAAGTGATGTTCTTAGGTATGCACTATCTCTGCCTACCATTCAAACTGTACTACATTCTTTGCCTTTCAGTCTTAAAAGTAGAAGCAAGTTTTCTAATATATCCTGTAAAGCACCATAAAAGATTGGAAATTTGTAAAAGGGTCTCTTTACCATTACTTTTGATGTAACTTTTATTATGTTTGTGACTTACCCCAAACATTTTTAGAGGAAAAAATAGTCTGTTCCATGAAGACATGCCAGTCTGAATAAGAAGTGCTGAAAACTGTTAATTTTTTTCAATATGGAAGAACAAATGAGAATGTAATAATTTCATTTGGGAATATGCTGGAGTAAAATTGTGCTAGTATTTCTGTTATCTTTTTGAAACTAATCCATTTAATGGTAATCTAGATTTTAAGATTTTTATTTTTTTTAATCTCTACCTATGGTTTTATTTCTGGTTTCATTAAAATAGGAAAATGAGGCCAAGTATCAAACTGATAGAAAGAAGTGGCTGGAGGAAAAAATGGGACTTGTAAATCAAGTAAAAGAAGCTGAGAACCAGCGCAACAGAGAAATGAGAAAATTTGCAGAGGATAGAGAACGTCGTGTAAAGCAGCAAGCAGAAATAGTAAGTGATGAGTTCTCAGCAGAGTCCTCTAGTGTAAGTCTTCAGTACAGAGCAAATGTCATGTCAAGTGTTAACAGTGTGGGCACTTGAGGGTAGCTGGCCTTTGTCAAAGTCCCCTCACTTCTGTCACGTGGCAAAGCCTAGATGAATCTTCTCAATATAAAAAGGGAAGAATAGGAGGGTCTCAAAAGGTAAAAGCTTAGTGCGTAATGGAGTTATGTCTGTTCCTTTCTATTCTACCACCACCAGCTTGCTATGAATTCTTCGAACTTTATATTGTGTGTAAAAATGCCAATAAGTATGAATTGCTACTTAATGAAGCTGAGAAAACATACTTTGAGATACAAGATTTGTTGTTTGGCTTTTTTATTTTTAAAAAAAAGCTTATGAGGCTTTCGAAGGAAGAGAAAAAAGCAAGAAGTAGTTGATTTAAAAAAAAAAGTTTCTTTCTAGTTAGAAAATCTGTATCTATATTTATACTCTTCTTGAAGAGAATTTTGGTAAGAACCATCAGTATTTTTACTCTAACTGAAGCATGGCTTCCTTTTGCAGATTTCTAATGAAAGTAGTTCTGTGTGAGCTTTTTAAGATCTACATAAGCTCTCAAGTTTACGAAGGCAGTAAAATCGTACTAACTATGTGAAACTAAACTATCAGAGCAGTTCAGATAGTGTGTAGAAGTGGTGTTCAATTCTAACTTATTTTTTCCCCATTTAGGAAAAACTTGCTGCACAGCTGGTAGAAAAGGACAATGATCTTCAAAAGTGGCGTGAAGAAAGAGATAAATTAGTCGAAGCTTTGGAAGTACAGCTCAAGGCTTTAGCTTCTAACACCGCACAAAAAGATAAAGAAATAGCAGAATTAAAACAGGCTGCACTAAAGGATTCAGAAAAGGTTATATTTATATTTAACTTCTGTGTGATTATTTTTTTTGTTTTTATCCATTAGTTCTGCAAAACACTACACTTGCTCTGTGCATTTTGGCTCTATATTTTATTCTTAAACACTGACATATTGAAAATAATTGCAACTAATTTTTAAAAGAAGCTTTATTTATGCTTTTTTGAAACTGAATTTGTAACAGTAACTGAAATTTCAAAATATTTATTGGTTCAAATAAACATTCAAGTCTATTTGATGCTTTGATTGCAAAGTTGGACTGAAAATCTGAAACAATTATCACATTTGTTGCCTTTCTCACAACATCAAGGACTTCATGAACAAATGGGAGGTGAAATTCTAACAACTCTACACAAATAAAGTAAAATAAAAAAAAATTACATTATGTTTTCCCGGGTTGTAATATTACTTTTCTTCACTTTAGATAGTGGCCACTCATACATTAAATTATTGGCTTTTTGTTGGATAGCTGACTGTTGTAGCCTGCAATTCTACAACTGATGTTACCAAGTAATCATAATGATGCTTGTGTATATGTTAATGTCTTTTGCCAATAATGCAATTTGTGCTATGTCTATTAGGACAAGGAAACTGATATAGAAGAACTAAGAAAACAGTTGGCTGAGAAAGACGACTTTATAAAGGAAATGAAACAACACATCAACTATGAAAAAAGTCTTCAGTCTTTGGCAGAAATACCTTTACCTGAAGAAGGACAAGATAAAATAGTGCAGTCTGTAAACAAAGAGGTATGTTTGTTATATTTATAGAAAGTATGTACTAATGATATGTTGTTAATAACTTTTGTTATTTTCTCTGTATATATTTCAGCAGCATTGGGAATCTCCCAAAAGTAACTTTTCGTAGTTCATACTTTAACTATATCTTCAGTTCTGAGTTCTTGTTCATTTTTTTTTTTCCTCTCTCCCTCTTTCACACTTGCTCTCAGAAAAAGAATACTTTAGTTAGTAGAATACCACCTCTCTTTACATTATACAACTTTTATACCAGGGGAGAAACTAGTTAACTAATCAAGGTTCTAGAGATTTGAAGGCATAATATTTGTAGTGTCATCTCAGTTTGGTTATGCCAGTGTTAAGGGGATGTCAGCTCAAACAACTTTCATGATATCACCTATGGTTTGGTAATAAAGATGATTCTGTAATTAGAGGTGCCAGCCTATATGGGGGGTTCACAAGAACAAAGCAATACCTTGCAGCCCACTTCAAACCAAACCAAAACAATATTTGAAGTTTTCACAAAGACAAGATCAACTTTTAATTTTTGTTCAGAAAATATGGAAAGGTTTGCAACTGTACTGAGACTTCTGGTTCTGACTGATCCCTTGTGTGCCTTGTGAGCAGTATTTTATGAGGCAGTTCTTCTGCTAAACCAAATTAATGTTATATGGCTCCATTGTGAATTCATAATGAACAGGGCTGAACATGGATTTCCTAGCAGTCCCTCCCCTGGCTGCCATTCTTCTCTTGTTGCAGAACTGAACTGAATGCCAAAATGCATCTCTTCATCTCTTTCTTGTCTGCTGCCAAATAAGACTGGCTAGTTTCTGGCTACTTCGTCAATTCAGCTAGTGCCATATAGATAAAGCTTGCTATGTATGAGGGAGGACAGAATAGACCTCAGAAGAGTTACTGCTTTATACAGCTTTGTAATAGCAGCAGAGAAAGCACCATAAAATTAGTTATAGAGAAGAATTGTTGTAAACAGTTGGTGCTGAAGTAGTTACCTCAAGCCAGGAGCAAAAATATGTGATGTTACAAACAAGGAGGGGCTGCTAGCAGGATTATTGTGTGAGAAAGTGTCATTGTGGCATTGAAGTGAATGCAGTAAAATTTTGGGCGGGAAGTCAAATAATTTTCACAAAAGATGTAGTGGGGATAAGGAAGAAAAACTAAAGTGATCAAGGTGATATGTATCTCCTGCTTTGTGAGGAGAGGCTAAGAAGCTGACACTCTGATTAGGAGAGGTTAAGGCTGCTGGAGGGTTATGGGGCTGAGGCTTACAAAATTATTTGGTGGGTAAACAAAAGGCAGAACTGTCCTTCCTAAAATCCTGCAAGAACTGAGCAGCACTTGATGAAACTAACAGGAGATAATTTTAAAACAGTTAAAATAGCACATTCCTATATGAAGCAGCTAGTGATCTTCTGAAGGTAGTGGAAACAGATACTGTCAGCAGGACTTAGAAAAACTTGTAGTAGAAATCCATAAATGTATTTGTAAATGGATGCTCTGAGAATCTGAAAGAGGTATACCTTCTGACACTTATAATGCAACAACTGAGAGTGCTGGGAGAGTATGGAGGGAACAGATGACAAGGTGGCCAGGATCACACATGTGATCCCTAAATAACATCTCTTTGCCACTCTTGGAGGCAGAATATTGAACTAGGTGAATTGTTGATGAGACCCAGCGGGGCACATCTTATGATCACATTGTGACGTTACTGACTTAAACTTCTGTTGTCTTTCAGCCCAGGTGTTCATTAGCTGTCTGCACTTGAGCTTTTGTATTGTAACTTTCGAAAACTCAAAATATTTTGATGTTTACAGTCTAGTGTAATCTTTATTCATTCTAAATATTTACAGTTTGTGGAAAAACAAAGCAAGACTAATCCTGTAGCTGGACAAAGTATTCCAGTAAGACATGATGAAATTAAAGAGAATTATTCATTATCTCAATGTCCTAGCAGTGCCTCTTCATTAAGTGAGGTTGGTATCAAACTTTAAATTTTGAAATTTTATGCAGCTGTATAGATTTTGCTAAATGCAGAATAGGCAAGAAAATGTGTCCTGTTGCCTGAACAATTCTAAAGTTTTATTCTGCCAATCCCTTTCTGGATGATCAGATCACCTGATTTAGTGGCTTTTGGTAGAAATAAAAGCTGTATAACATAATTGTGAATATTTATCTTCCTTAAACTATGTGCTCTTTAAAAATTTAACAAAGCAGTTTTAGAAAATAAGAGTTAAACTCTGCTATAGTTGAAGTAGACTTCTTCACTTGTATTGTAAGTATTCTGAAAGCTAACAGCTGGAAAATAGAATGCTTACTTTGCAATCCACTGGGGAGTGATATGTATTATAGCTCTTTTAAATCTAGCTATTTTAAAACTTGGGGGTTTTATTTGTTTGGGGTTTTTTTTTTTTTTAATTTTCATATGCTTGCAGGACCATTCAGAAATTGTCCTTGACTCTTCTGAAGTGTCCACAGAAAATGGAAAAGCTAGTCGGTTTCCAAAGCCAGAGATGGAAATCCAGTTCACACCTCTGCAACCCAATAAAGTAGAGGTGAAGCACCAGGGCAGCACCTTACCAGTTACACTTAAAATGCTTAAGCCAAGAAAGAAAAGGAAGAGTGAAGAGATGGATGAGGTATGGCCTAGACCAAGCGACAAAATATCTTGGGCAATCTTTCAATGTATTACTCTGATCATTCATTAAAATCCTATCTTTAACTTCTGATTGTCACTGAGATCCTAGGGATGTATCTAGGGTATATTTAAACCTTTTATCCCTCCTGTAATAATTGTTGTTCTTTCTAGAAGAATCCTAGTTACAATTTGTCGTACTTATTTTCTTAGGATTTTGTGAAAAATGAGAACAAGAAAAATGCAAAACTTGCTGTGACTAATTCACCGTCTACAAGCAACAAGAAAATGGTTTGGGTTTGTTCTGTTTTTTAAGTTAGTTTGGCCTTTTCTGTAAAGGTGGACTTGTGAAAGGAGCAAACATTCTTATTATGCAGCAATATCTTATCCTTTTTTTATATACTTGAATAGGATTCTTAAACACTTATAGACTTTAGTAGGAAGACAACGTAAGCTAACCAAAGAGAGTAAGTCTGTATATGCCAGGAATGCGTACTAGCTACAGTGTACAGTGATTCAAAGGGAAGGATGTTGCATATTGAGTAGTTATGAAGACTAGTTTGAACATACTGTTGGTAGAGGTGATGTTATAGGCAATGCCTTTGACATAAACCTTAGTTTTACTTCATCTATATGCATAACAACTATAAAATACAATTGTAGGTAACTTAAGTTACTTTAACTTACTTAGTAGTAACTTGGGCTAGTTCAGAGGGTAAGTAGTAGATTTTTCCCCATCAGTTTCCTCCTGTTTTATTTATAACTAGAACAGCTTGTCTAATGAAATACTCTACAACTTTGAATCTACTTTTTTTTTAAAGATATTATTTGTTTCCTATATTATTTGTGCCTTTAAATGTATTCTGTGAAACTTTGACAATTTTTTTTCTTCTGGATACAAAATAGTGCTTGCTGTGGTAGCATCATTAGTGTAATGAACAGAAGTCAGCTTGAAAAAAACATTGAAGTCAAATAAAATGGAATTAAACTTGAAGATAAGTCAATTTGCAACTCAAACAATGATCTTGTCTTTCTGGACAGGTGTCTACTATGCAGTCGTTTAGGAAAGAATACTCCTTAAGAAAGCAAGAATCTACTTCAAGTAAAAAGTCAACTAAAAAGAAAGATGGAACACTACAAAAAATTGGAGATTTTTTCCAAAGTTCTCCTACTATTATTCACTCTAAAGGTTTGTACAGAATAAATAAGGCTTATTCCATGTTCTCTGGGCATTGTAGAATTACTTTTTTTCTGCTATTAAAGGACATGTCTGCTGCATTAAGTTGTTTGTTCATTTATGAAATAATGGAGTCTGAACTGGGGCTTGCTATATTGAATCTTGCAGAGTAGAAAAGGCTGTCTTGATTGCAAGGACCACACAGTTCTAAAGTTCTGGTTAAGTGTGAAAGGTAAACCAGGTAGAATGAAAAGACACAGTGTGGAATATGTGCATGTAAATTTATCATAAAAGCAATGATAACTGTTGAGCTCTATGTCTGAGTTACTTTGTTCTTGCTTACAGTAAAACAGTTCAAGGCAACTTCAGAAACTTGCCTTACTGCTCTGAAAAATCAACAGCTGAATCCAAACTCCAAATTTTACCTTGTTTTATAAGCAATCCCTCTTCCTCCTGCCCCGCTTTGTTTCTGTGGAAAATGTATTAATGATTTTTGATGTACATACATGGGGAGGGGAAGATTAGTTCTACAGAATCTGAAAGCCCAAGTCTCATGAAAATATTTTGAAAACTTCAATAAACTGACTATGAAGCAATTAATGGATTTCATTAAGTTTAAGCATAGCCTTGGGAAGATTAACTGCTAGGCCTTTCCATTGCAGAATGTATTTTTATTCTTTCCTACAGTAAGACATGATCTCTGAGTTACTGTGGTTTTAAAAACGAAAGATTAAAATTATCAGAGAACACGAGGAATCGCCAGCATTAAATTCTAAAAGGCACTATTATTTGCTTGGTTAAAACAAGATCAGTCATTATTCGTTGTGGACAGTTAAAATTAAGATCTCTGTATCAACTTGAAAACTTGACTTGCTACAGAGTACATCTAGACTGTCTTATAGTAGATAAGATGATGGGATTTTTCAAATTTTCCTGGTTTGCCAGGCTGATTCCAGGAGGACAACACATCATTATCAATGGAAGCCAAATTCAGACTACTTCAAATTTCACCCTGAAAATACTTAATTTGAGCAAATGAGTTCCGGTTTGTAACCCTTATTACCATGTCCTGTGTCTTTTTTCCTCTTTTGCAAAACTTAGTAATGTTCGGGATTTCTTTTTTCCTTGTAGCTCATACATACGCATACACTCATCTCTTTATAGAGCTAATAGTAATTTGATAAAGCTATACAAGTATATAGAGAAAACTGACTCTACCTTGTGCTCCTGTCAGCACAAAGAAGTTAAGCCTGTTGTTCAACTCCTGTTTATGTGTTTAACTTCCAGTGAAACCTGAATCGTTATTGATTTCTGATGTGCTATTTAAATGTGTCCTTTTAAGATTTTGCATCTGAAGCTATAGGAAACTTATTTCCAGCTATAGGAAACTGTGGTAGTCAAATACCACTTCTGAATTTTTACATTTAAATTTCAGACTACATCTGCTTCATTTTTAAACTGTTTTTAATAGTGCTTGCTTTATTCCTTAATTTTGAGGCTCACAAAACCAATATGACCTTGATTTATGATAAAATTTTTCTTCTAGCAAAGAAGCTGATTGCAACAATAAGCTCTCCCAAATCTGCAGAACCAGAAAGTATCAAAGAAAATGAGCTCAAGCCAAAACGAGCTACGAGAAAGCTGTATTCAACTGACATTTCTTCCCCTCTAGATATCCCTGCTTCTTCAGTAAGTGATTACAGGTTACTGTTCTGTTCACTGTAATGTATTTCTGTAATCTTGGCTTAAAATAAGATATTAAGAGGACAGAACAAACCTGAAGGTCTAATTAAGTTGCAGAAAAGGTTTGAAAGTACCAACTTATTTCTTGATTCTACCTAACCATTCCTTTTGGTCTTTTCTTCCTGCTGTTTTACTTAATTTTCTCCATTTTCTCACTTATCTTCTCTGTGTTTGACTGCCGACTTACTGTATAGATTATACAGCAATCATGGAGATATCTTTACATTTGGATTCATAGATATCTTTGTTGTGGTATGTGGAGGATTACTTTTTCCTCTACTTAGAGGAGTTGAGCCTTAATTTGTTTTTCCCACAGTTGGTGTTCATTTCAGTGTAACATAAAGGGAGGCTAGAAATAAAGACCATTAAGGGATCCATAGATTTGGAATAGCATGATTGAAACACTAATAATAAAGGTCTGCATGTACAATTAACTTTGCAGGGCTAAGGTAATTACCTAAGGTAATTTCTGATTCCACTTATGTCCACTGATATTTGGGTTACTTTAGGATGCATATACATCCATCGTTTTCAAAGCACAGTTTAGATAGCCTTCTGGGTGTTCATCAATTGTCCTGCCCTAAGCCAAGCCTGTAAAGAACTTACAGGCCAGGGCTTGATGTATTGTTTCTGAAATACAACTTTACGGTTTTGAGAGTAACTACAGTGCTGAGCGCATTCATGCTCTGTTGGAAGTACATCTCTTCTGTTCAGTCCTTTCTTGCCTTTGCTATGGTGAGTGTTTGCCCATTCTGAGATATCCTATTGCATTTTCTGTAAATTCTGTGAATGGATGAGGCAGAAACCAAAATCCTGTGCATAGGAGGATGAAGAAAATGACAGAAATGCAGACCACAAGAAGCTAAGAAGCTTGGAAGTGAAAGGAAAAGTGAAAGACTGAACATTGGGAAAGTCAGAGAAAGCTAAAGGAATTCAAGCTAAAAATATACTTTCTGAACACTTCCTGTTTCACTAATGAGCAGGAGACATTAGAAGTGAGAGCTGCTTTCAGACCACATTTTTCTTTAGACTTTGGTATTTGTTTCAGCAAAACCAGAACTTCATATATTCCTGGTGTTTGTTACTTATTACGATGCACTAAAATGGTGTCTCTATCCTGGAGACTTCTGACTGGAAGATAACAGGCAAATTTCATTCTGAAAACAGCTTCTGGAAAAAAACATGTTATTGGTTGCACGTTTCTAGAAGTGCATGTCATTTGTCTGTGAAGAAATGCTGAGTAACTCTTGAAATCCATCTTTTTCAGATCTTTATAGAACAAAGAGAGAAGGAAAGTGATCACCTAATCATCAAGCGACGGCTACGATCAAAAACTGCTAAATAATCTTGCAAAAGCATGTTTGTATTGCCTTGTAAGGGCATATTTCCATTGTGTTATTTCAGCTGATTGTATATAGGAAGTAATAGATAATTAGTCATGCTTTGAAGTTTGTATATAGATGTATTTAATTGTTCTGATGGTTTCCAGTTATGACTCCATTAAAGCTGAAATACTGTTCAAGAAAGTTTGTGTCTGAATCTTTTTTTGGGGAATGGTGTCTATGGAAGTATTTATAATTTACCCGTTGTGCAGTCAGAACTATGCCTGTGCAGAATGGTTTCAGTTGCTTTTATTTCAGGTGGCCAGTATACCTACCACACCTACCATAACTTTGAGTGGGGGAAAAAGTGAGTACAAGTTAAACTTGTATGTATATCTTCAAATTCTTAAAAAAAGATTTAAAAAAAAAAAATTCTGTGTAGGTACAAAATTAAGGAGTTGGCACTGTGTGGAGAAATATGATGTTTTTCATCACTTGTGTGGTTTTAACTGTCTTCTATTTACTCTTCTAAATTAGGTAATTTATAAGCATAATGTTCTTTGGGGATTACAATAGCCATAAATAAATATCTATAACCTGCTATTAGAAGTGACCCACTCTTATAGACATTTGACACTTTATTCTAACCATCCACCAGTTCTGCTCAACTAGAACAGCTACTTCTTATATACTAAGGTTTCAGCTTATAATCAATGACTAAATAAGCATTTAAAATACTTGGTTTCATCAATGTAACATTTACTTAAGCTGCAGACAATGACTGTATTTCATAAGATATTGTGGTGTTTGAAAAACAGTTACTGGTTGTCTTTCAGAAAGAGCTGAGATTACTTTGACAAAGACCTGCTTTTGACATGTATGAAGTAGGACAATCCCAGTAAGTGATCATTTACTCTAACTTCTTGCTCATGCAACTTCCTTATGTTCATTTTCTTGAATGACTGCCAACCATACAACATTGAAATAATCCAATAGTCCAAGTAAAAACAATTATTACTGCATTCTGGTCTACTTCACGTTCATATCTATGATTCTATGGTATCTTTCTGTTCAAAGAGTTCCTTATGAATCTGTTTTGCACATACATAGTGTTTAGTACCATAAGAAGAGTATCTTCTTTATAAGATTGCCTTTTGAGGTTTGGTATTGGCCTGACCACAAAATTTTTCAGAAGTTCTCTTTCAACATCCAGTCTGAGGTGGGTTTTTTTTCCCCCTTCTCCAAGCCATACTGGTTCATCAGCAACAACCAGTTGGTCTGTAGAGGTAGTAATAGTTTGCTCATACAGCCAGATAAGTGCTACTCCTTTTTGATAGTACAGCTGCAGCCTTACTGTCCTTCAGGAATGATTCCATGATTTAAGTTCTAAGCATTTTTTGATTGATTGTTTTCTTGGACTGCTGTTCTGTATTGTCTCTTGTTTGTGTCAATGAGTCAATCTGATTTTTTTTCTTCAATCAAACATGAGATTAAAATTGTTTTTCTTGAAAGAAAAAAGTGACTTGTTGCAGTTTAGCTGTAACAAATGTTACCTTTAAAAATGCAAATCAATGTAAAAAATGGTCATTAGTAATTTCTTTAGCAAAGGTAGTTTTCCTTTTAAGCTATAGTCACATAAAAGTTAATGTGGATGACAATGTTGTTGAGTCTGTTTAGTGGCAACAAACTCTGATATGGTTTTCTCTACTGTTCTCCAGTAGCTTGTCTGAGCATGGAATGTCTTTTCATAAGGATAAAGGACAGTTCAATTCTGTAGATACTGACTTGTAAGATCAGATTCTCAAACTAATTTGCTTCTCTAATTTTCCAGCTGTAAAACAGGTTTGTACCCCAATAGTCTTCTTTGTCCTTAACAAAGACTGATTGATGTTTTGTTCTTGCCAACTTGAAAGTGACAAAGTGAGCCTGATTCACAAGTCATTCAGCTCTTCCATTGCTTCAACTTTTTGTCTTCATCTTCTGTCTGTGAAATAAGAACTTAGATTTCCTTTTCATTAGATCGTGCTTGGTATTGCTATCTTCTTTCTTCCCTCTTTCCATTCTAATAGAAAAATGTAAAATCCTGGTGATAGTCAGATTCTAAATAAAAAATAAATGCAATGTCACTCAATATCTCTTCACAAGTAGGATTTTACACTTTGAGCTCTTTTTGTCTTTACCCAGATCTTCTATTTTCTTCTATCTGTGGTCTAGATATCTGGACTGATCTCTTTCAGGGCTGCAGAAGAGCACAGCAGTGAAGATTCTTACCTCACGTAGGTGCAAGTTGTTTGTTTTACAGAAGTCTCATAGCTGAAGACAGTAAATATACAAGGTGAAGTCACCTAACAGTCTTAAACAATGGGACAGTACTTGGAATATTTATTCTTTGTCTTTCATTATGTCTGTGTTTTCCATTTTTAGCAGATGTTCTCAGGCAGCTGTTCATCTTGACCCTTAACTTCTTGTTTTTTCTGAACAGTTTCAGTTAATTTTAGAACCCATCAGCATGTGCCTGTTTAGCTGGATTGTTGCTTCTATTGTGTATGACCTTGCACTTGCCTGCAGTGAAATTCATATGCCATCGTGTTGCCTTGAATGACAGTTTGATTGCTTATCATTAAATCATCAAATGGCCTTATAGCTCTTATTTAACCAAAAAACATTTGCAAGGTAAATGCAGGATTGAAAGAATGCTGAATTACTTGATTGTTGCATGTATGATTTCTTTATTGATTCAAATGTGTGGAAAGTAATAGAAATATCTTCAGCCATTTGACATCTCTGAAATCGCTGATTGATAGTGTTTGTTCTTCTCCCTATCAAACATAACAAATAACTTAAACTTCTTTCTGGTTTCATGGGTAAATGACAAGTGATAAAAGATTTAACAGAGTTTATTTCAATTACTCTGGTAAATTCTAGTTTAGTTATCTGTGCAAGTAACTGGGAAGTAGAATCTCTCAACTTAGTCAAGCTACTATGACACTCAGGAATGCTACTGTACTATCTGTATTGCCAATTTTTTGTATTTACTAAAATTTTATCAAGTTTTGCTGAGCTATCTGGAGGTTATATGAAAACCTGGTGGGTTTTTTCCTGGAAGTCATTGGAATGAGCGTTTTCATTATAATCTGAGCATATAACCTGTACATCTGTATGTACAGGCACAAAACCTTTTTGTATTTCACTTATTCTTGTTTTTTGTCCCTAGGGTTGCTTTTGCAATTGCAAGAACTGCACTGATTTCACTTCCTTCATAGGTGCAGGATTGGTGATCAAACTCCACGGTTACAAATTTTTAATACATACAGAAATAAAGCATGCTCCCTTTGCTTTGGTCAAGGGATTGTGATTTCTGTACTTCCTACAGCTCTTGGCATTTGATCCTATACATTGGTAGCCTAGAAAATGGGTCATACTTTGTGTACCTCCTTTCTCTGTCAGGATTATCAATTATTTCCTGAGCAGGAAAAACATGGGTGAGACAAGAAGGGGGGGGGGGGGGTAAAATAAGACAAAG